AATAAACTGCGCTATATTTACTTAAGATGTCAAAATTATATCCTTCTAAAAATTAGATTTTACCCATAAGCCCTTTATAAATATTGAAGGGTACCTCATATATATTTTTAAAAAGCGCTTTACAAATATTCAAGGGTACCTCATAGATATTTAAAAAAATTATCAAGAAAAAGATGGGATTTAATAAGAGGATTTGTATCTAAAACCTATAATTCTTGGATATCAATATTAACTTTTAATATTAAATTATTTGTTTTGAGGAGATAAGAGAGGAAGGAAAGGAAATGGTGCAATGAAGTTTTTGATACTTGATTGAATTTTGAATAGGGAGGGTAAAGGATAGGGAGGTAAAGGGATAATATCTAGTTATTTTTTATTAGCCTGTCTTACATCCAAAAGTGCACGAAAATGGAGGAAAAAGAAAATAAGATGAATGAAAATTTTAAAATGTTCTAAAATACCTATGTGTTTACAAATTAGATTCTTAAATTATAAATAAAAATGCAACAAATGCTAATAGTTTCTTTCCTTTTCATGCCTTCTGTAATCCAAACAATATTTTCAATGTTTCCATTCTTTTCCTTTGGTATTTAATTCAAACAAGATTGATGGAGTCCACTTTCATTTCTTGTCTACTAGAGTTCACTCCTTTTCTTTTCTTCCCTTTCCTTCAATCTAATTGGAGTCTTGGATCAAATCCTTCTCAACAACCTCAAATGTATATTTTATTAGCTTTACCTCTCTCAACTTTTGATTTTATCACTACAGATTAACCTTCACATGTTGCTACTTTATTATGAAATACATTTAACTTTTCTTATTATATGGCATACTCAATTTTCCTTTATTCCTTCTCTAGGTGCCACATTGTCTTGAAAGACATTCAACTCTCCGTTGTGAGTATGTGGCAAGTTCAATTCTCATTTATTCAGTCTATAGCAATGTCGTTAAACTTGCCCTGAATAATGAGTCGGCTAAACTACTGAATCAAGAGTCAATTGGTCGGATTGGTTGATCCGTTCTAAAAATAGCTGATGTCAGCATAATGTCATAATTATTTTTATATTTTTATAAGTTTCAGAAATTTTAAAATTAAATTCTTGATTATATTCAACCAACCATACAAAACGTACCAAAACACATGTCTAAATTAAAGCACATCATACCCAATTCAATATATTTTTGTTGGGAAAATGGCGTTATAATGCAAGTTAGAATCACTGGTGATAAATTGATAAAATGATAAAGATGAAAATTTCTTGATTTAGAGAAACAATTAGAAAATTGAATAATTTTGATGTTTGCACTAAGTGGGTAGCGTTTTCTTATTCCTATTAATAAATGAAAATTTTACAATTTAGGTAGTTCAAATGGTGTTTGGAGAAAACAGGAAGAAAAAAGTTTGAGAACTAGGTCAAGTAGTCAAGCCGGATCACTGGTTTAACTAATTTTTGACGATTTTAACTGATTTTTAACAAAAATGATTTTGTACTATTACCCACCTCAAAAGAAGATCGATTCATGAATAGACGGATTGATCTGATCCAGGTCTAACAACACTGTTCTATAGGTCCCAATATATAGAAAAGCGTAACATAATAAATGACTTGCAAATATTTTCGCGGTCAAGATTTTAAAAAATATACCAATACATTATCCCAGCAAAAAAAAAAAATCAAAGGAAAGGCAGGTCCCAGCTAACCATACCAAACAAAGGACGATGAGACACTTCTCATAGTAGAAAAATTCGTACCACAGAAAATGCAAATGGCAAAAAAAAAGTCAGAGTCATTAACAAGTGGTAATAGGCGGCAGCCAGACGCGTGCAGCCAGACGCGTACACGAGCACGTGACGCAGTATTAACGACGCTGAGCTGGCGCCTAGTTATTGGTCGGAGGCTGACACAAAAGACATGGACGGACAGTGAATCTTGCCAAAATTGTACGCACAAAATCATCTGGTAATGAAACGTCGTTTAGTTTTATCCCAAGAAAGAAAGAAAACACACGCTTTACTGATTATTCTGTGGTTGAGATTTGAGACTTAAAGAGAAGAAATAGAAAAAGACTGTAAAGATTTTGAAGACTATCATTTCTCTGTACATCTTGCCCGAAAAATCTCTTTTTAGGGTTTCTACTAGTGTCTTGCCTACCCAATATTTTCCAGCTTCTGTCATCTCCCATCCTGCAGATCTGAGTTTTCCCAGAAAAGGATTTGTCTGGTTTTCCATTTTTTGAGGTCAATCAGTACCACTCCATCCGGATTCTTTCCTTTTTTGGGAAACTTTTTTGTTCATGTGGTTATTTTAGATTTTTCTTGATCAAGTGTTTTTTGTTGTTTGCACTTTGACCCTTTATCGAATCATTGATTTCTCTTTCAGGGTTGTCGGTGGATTTAATTTTGCGCCTCGTTTCTTATCTAAAATTGTAAGAATGTTGAGAGGGAAAACTCAGATTGAGAGGATAGAAAGTGCAACAAGTAGACAAGTGACATTGTCAAAGAGGAGAAGGGGAGTTCTCAAGAAGGCCTTTGAGCTATCTCTGTTCTTTGTGATGCAGAGGTTGCACTGGTCATTTTGTCCCCCAGCGAGGAGCTTCATGAGCTCTCAAGTTGCAGGTACATTAACCATCAAAATTCGCTCCTGATCTGCACATAATCTCTGTCGCTCTTTTCGTGATTAATTTTCTTCTCCTTTATCAAAATGGTATCATATTCATCAGATTTTATGTCCACTTTTACAACGGATTGACCATTAGTCATTCCAAGTGTGTTCTCAAGCTTTTATCGGAGCTAAAGGATCAGGGATCCCTTATTTTGTTTTATATCCGTTCCTATGAATTCAATTTTTACCAATAACTGCAGTTTTTAATGAGTTTGACTGAAGGCATTTTACAAGTGGTTTAGATATTGTTTGGTCCGGAGGTGGAAATAACAGATCCTTGGAAGCACAGCAAAACTTAGATAGACAAAGATACACACAATTTGATGAAGTACCAATTGTGCAACACTTTCTTTTTTTTGGAGATGATGTTTTATGCCAAGTTGTCAACTTAAAGAAAATAAAAATCAGTAGCAAATGTTATGAGACGCAGCATTTCATCCCAACAAGCATTAACCTTGCGTAGTAGTTCTTAGATCACATTGTGTACATAGACTATGAGGGGCTATACTGAATACAAGTGGAAATGGTACCATGTCTATAATGAAGCCGGTAAGTAGTTGTTGTGCTTTTGTACTTGTTCTTTGAAAATGTCCAATCACACCAGCCTGTATGCATTAGTACTACGAGGAAGTGGACCTTCTCAATTCCCTCCGAACTTTCAAGATTGAGAGAATGCATCCTTGTTATTGGAGTCATGGAGAACGTCTAAGCAGGATAGGAGTACTCCTATTTTGAAGCTTTGCTTACCTAAATCTCCTAAATTAACCTGTTATGCTAAGTTAAGTTCCAATGAGATGTATAATTTCGGTGGAGACAATATGGCAGTACCATTTGACACAATTGAGGATCCAAGGCTTTTCTATAACTTACTTTTATTAGCTGTGTTGGTACAAATTTTACTTGGATTGGCTTACTTTCAACTTTAAGAAGGAAATAACGGAATATTTTATTGTTAAAAACCTAACTTGATGAAAGAAAAATTTTTTATGACACCAATTTGACAAATATTTTCAGAAGGATAAGGCTGGAAGTTGAAGGTATAAATGAATTGCAAACATCATAAATGAACCCTCGTTTTGAATCAAGAAAAAAGGTATTAATCACTAAATCATATTTGGTTCTCCAATATTGCTCTGATCGAATTTTAATTTTTGTATATGATGAATTTGGGTGTTTTATAAATAGAAATAAATATTGAGTACAGTTTTTGAAGATTTAAAGATTTCTCATTGACTCGTAGTTTAAAACAATTTGATGTAAATACATATGTCAACAATTATTTGGAATCCTTTTTTTAATTGAAATTCATAGCAACAGTTATTCGGACACGAAATTCCTTCCTAAAATTCCTAAATCAACATGATGGTAATGCATTAAGGACTAGCTCCTCTCTGTGCTAAACTATAAGAGTTGTGATACTTTGAGCAACGTCTCCTTATAGGAATATTCAATATCTCTCAACCTCTTATTCTTTGCAAATATTTATTTTGTCACACATTTTCTGTCAAATACAAACTTATTGGGTCTTGTATTAATGATAAATATGCCACTTTATGGGTTTAAATTAATAGCCTGTTCTCACCTTCTTTTCATTTCTCTTTACTTTTATGAGGAGGGTGGATAGATAACCTCATTCACCTGTTTAACTCATGACCCTATATTGTCTCTTTAGTTTAAATAGAACCTATTGTGTTTTTCGAATTGCCTATTGGGTCTTAAAAAGGTGCCTGATCAAAATTCTATCCAAGTTGACTTAATAGATGCCAATCAAGTGAGGGACGTGACAGTTCTCCAAGGGCAATAGATAAAAATTATTAAAAGTCTAAACCTACACCCTTGGTTGATCACAACAGACAAAATAAATAAGAGGGAAAGGGTCTGACACATGATGCATTATTAGGACAAAATTTGGTAATCAACTTCATTCTTTCTAAACTTGTATACATATACATATGTGTATACATATTCACATACATGCACATATATATACATACCTATATATACATATACATATATATATATGTGTGTGTGTTGAGAGAGAGAGAGAGATAGCACAAATAGAAAGAGCTAGAGATCGTATCAGATGGAAAGTGTAGATGGGTTAAATTACATGTAGGTGTGGTTTTAAGTTTTTCGATTGACTTGAAAATAAAGGCACTCGTTAGATTTATTAGCCTCTTAGTTTATTTCGATGTACTTGTCAATAATTATACCTATATGCTCTCTCTTTTGCCATCTCTTTTCCTTTCTCATTATTGAATCTACAGCTCTGACCATTTGCTCTCTCTCTCTCTCTCTCTCTCTCTCTCTCTCTCTCTCTGAATGTGATTTAGGAAAAGAAATTGGTTATCAAATTTTGCCCCAATAATGCAAGAGGTGAATGGATTCTTCTCATCCTATATACTTGGTCTGTTGTGATCAACTTAGAGTTACAGATCTAGACTTCCAACTCTTTCCATCTATTGCTCATGGAGAACTCATGTTTCTTTAGTGATATTATGTCGATTTAGACGAAGTGTTTTCTAGAGGCCTTTTGAAACCTAATTCATAAGTTGAAGGACTTAATAAGTTCTTTATACACGCAATGGACGAAATAAGGTGATGAGTTAATGTGAGGGAAGAATGAGGTCATTTGCCCACCTCATTTGCCCTAGAAAGTTCTATCAGATTATTGATAACAAGAAAAGAAACAAAATCCGAGGAGGAAAAATGAAGGTCTCTAGATCCATGAACTGATATAATATCAGAAATCAGGATGAGAAACTTTATTTTAAAATGATTCACTGAATAATATCGCGTGCAATGATTTAATTGCATTAGTGCCACAAGTACTATAGAGCGCTACCAGAAGAATATCAAGAATCTATGTCCGAGCCAAAAAATGGCTCTACAACAGTCATAGGTCAGAAACTGATCAGCATATTCGGGTAAATCTTTTTCCATATATGATTTGCTGCTGCAGTTGCCAGTGGATATGGCTGTAACTGTTTCCCTTGCCATTGTTTCATAGACATGCAAGCAGTAACAACAGTATCCTTTTTGCTTCTGTGATTAAGTGAGTATATTTAAATATGTTCATGAAGAAAGTTTCGTGTTTAGAAAATTTTTCTTTTTTTTTTTTAATCTTTTCCTTTCCCGTATACGTCCTTTTTGCACCTCCTCTCCACTAAAGAGTTAATTTCTTGTGTTGGTGTGCTATATCTGTTTACCATTTGTGACGTACGTTTGTTGTGTTTTGTTTCTAGGGATGAATGGTATCTATTTGAGTTTTATGCAGCATTTTCACATGTGAAATTACCTTTTGAATTTTCTTTGAATAGCGGGTATTTAGTGTTCAACTGTGTCCTGGTACCAAATGTTAGTTGCATGAGCCTATGAATTGCGTCCAAAGTCCAAAATAAGCAGTTTCATGGCATTCACTTTCTTGATTTCTCGGAATGGCAGCCAAGATCCTTTGAACTGGTATTGAATAGCCATAATGTCTTACATTCACTTGATTCTTGATCCTGGGAATCTCATTCAAGATCATGGGTCACTGCCAACTGATTCTTTGACTTAATGAATCTTGTCTTCGAATTTATTCTGCTACATCTTTTGATTCGTGCATGCTGAGCTTCTTTTTTTTTTTTTTTTTCCAGAATTTTGAAGAAGAGATTGCAATTCTGAGAATAAAAACAGTTGAGTTCTTGAAGAAACTAAACGGTTGTTGTCCTAACATTGACACGTTTGAGCTTTAAGCACAACTCATTCTTATCGTATAACAACATGATATTAAAAACAGCATAATTTTTGTATGTTGCAGAAGGTTCTTGGGAGATGGTTTAGATTCCTCCTCTGTTGATGAATTGCAACAGATAGAAGGTCAGTTGGAGAAAAGTTTAAGCATCATTAGGTCAAGAAAGGTACATTTTGCAATAGGCATCTCTAAATTAATGATTTGATCAGAATGTAGAATTTGATGGTAAAAATCGAATGTCCAATTCTCCTGCAGAGCCAATTGTTTTGAGAGCGCATTCATCAGTTGAAACAAGAGGTAAAATATGCATTTGAAAATCCAGGAGTTGCTTATTCTTTCGTTTGCACTTTGATCAAGAACAAGGTTTATGAATTTCATGTTAATTGGCATTGTTAATCTTCTTAATTTGCATGCCTTCTCAAAATTCAGGAGAAAATTCTCAAGAAGGAAAATACGGAATTGCAGGAAAAGGTAGATTACTATTATTACTCATAACGTTATTGATTTATAAAAGTGCCCTAGAATGATCAAAAATGAAGAGTCTATTCCGACTTTATGATGTTGAATAGGTACGGATAATGGAGGTTGGTAAATTCATTCTTCTTCTTTCAACAAAAGACACAAATTCTTCAAAAGGAACTCCAACGCAAGGCAAAACTTGGAAACAAAAATGTGTTAGGGAAGGTCTAAACCCTACAAACATCTATTTCAAATTCAAATTCTGTACAATTCTTAATGGTAACACTAAATTAATAAATGAACCAAATGTTGAGGATTTGAGATGAAGGGCTATGAGATTTAGCACCTCCCAAAAGCATTGCTGTCATTAATGTTTAGTTTGTATATGCCAACCCTATTTGTTGAGTAATTTATATTTTTTGAGAAAATGAATTTGCAATATGAAGAGCGATGATTGAAACTAACGATTAGTGAATAATCCTTGTCACTGAGATAAGTAAAATTGTCCCAAAATAATTTGTCAATCTGCATGATTTCGTATAATTTGTTTTTCTTCTTTTATAGTTTATCTTACTTTTCTTTTTTATAATTATGAGGCAAAAGCAGCTCCTACATTGATGGATGAAATATTGAATAAGCTGCATTTATTGCAATTGGTGATGTGTATATTGCTTAAAATTGTATATTCTAGTCATTCATGTTCTATGTTTTGGTCCAATTTTCAGGTAATTTTGGGGAAATAACGCTTGGAGGATGAGAAGTATCTATTATCGGATGAAACAAAAAAGTTGTGTATGGCTAAGTGTTTTTTGATCATTAAAGCCTATGGGCCTACTGCGTTATTTTATGGAATTACCATTAAAATGATCAAAATGTGGCAGCGTTAAAATTTGTGCTTTTTTTTTTTTCCATCATACAATGAAGGACGCAATGTTTTATAAAGAAAAATAAATAAATGAATACATAAATACAAGTTTAGGAGGGACATTGGTAGAGGTTTCAAGGGCCACGTGTAATATTCTGTCTTCTTCTCGTTTTATGATTTTTTAAATTTAAAAATTCTACCAAAATTAAGTAGTAAATCTTCTGTAGTAGCTAGCCACTGCCATATTCCCCGTCATTAGCCTCTCCAAAGAATGAGAAAAGAAACGATATTATATTTTCCACTTTCCAATTTATAGAAGAGAGGATGTGGAATGCCAGTGGACTAGTGCGGTTAGGGTTTGTTGCAGTTCAATCTCGTTGTTGTATTTTTTATATTATTCGATACACAATTGGATTATATTATTATTTTTTTGGTAAAAGTGGTATACATTAATATAAAATATTTGACAAATATTTTATACAACACTATGATATATTTGTATATCAAAAATTTAAACATATATAACAATCAGACAATATCGCACGAAGCACAATTGTACTGAGTCTTTATTCCATGCATGCAAAATACTTTTATGATACAAAAGGTTGGATGCATATTTCACCCGATAAAAGATGTCAAAATTACATCCTTATAAAAGTTAGATTTTACCCACTGAACCTTTTATTTACAAATATGAAAGGGTACCTCGACTTTTGTTTTTTGGTACCTCAAATATTAACAAGTTAAAGATATGATTTAAGAAACGGGAAGAGGAATTTGATTCTAAAATGATTACAAATTCTCCTTTTGATTTCTTCTCTGTGTGCCACTTTATCTCGAAAGACATTCAAACTTTTCGTGATAAATATGTGGCAAGCTCAATTCTCATTTATTCATTCTCTAATTCTCCATGTATATATATAAAAGAAGCAGAACATGATAAATGTCTTTCGAATATTTATTTTCACTGTTAAGACTTTAAAAAGTGCTAGTATACCACCAATACATTATCCCAGAACAAAAAAAAAAAAGAAAAAGAAGAAGAAATCAAAGGAATGATAGGTCCCAACCAACCATACCCAATCGGGGACAACGAGATACTCTCATAGAAGAAAAATTCGTACCACAGAAAAGGCAAATGGTAAAGGACAGTCACAGTCATCAATAATAGTATGATTCTGACAAACAAAAATTAATAATAATAGTAACAGCCCAGACTCCGGCCAGAAGGGTACATGAGCACGTGACGCTGTCTGAAGTATGCTGAGCTAGCGCCTATTTATGGTCGAAATTGTACGGTCGGACAATGACATCTTACTAGTGTTGTACGGACATAACGTCATCAAACTCTGTTGCGTGGGTTCAGCTTTTGAGGTGACTGATGCCAACCCTAAAACGATGGATTTTTTCCCGCTGCATATCAATCTGCCAAAGTGTTGACTGTTGACAACCGACAAGGATGTGAATCTCAACCTGCCATCTTAAATCCACCGTAGATTCCTTTTTAAGGTAATGGAATGTCGTTTAATTTTTCCCAAGAAAGAAAGGAAGGAAGAAAGAAAACACACAATCACTGATTATTATTTATTCATGCTGGTTCACCACCATTATTTGACTCTATTCATTACACGTTTGTTGAACTGCATAAATATCTTGATTAGGATGGCCTTGTTTTCATCAATTGCATGGATATCTTGATTAGGATGGCCTTGTTTTCATCTTCTTTTAATGATGGCATAATGGAAATCTCTAGACTCTACCCCCTTTGTAAGGCAAAAATAGGGGTTATATTTCTAAGGGCTACCCTAATTTGCTTCTAGGTCCGGTAATTTTATAGAAAAGTTTTACACGTTTTAATGGGATCAAAGGCCTACCTAATTGATTTTGTTCAATTCGGTCTAATTAATTATTGTAAATTTTATGCGTAAATTCATGCAAACTTGACGTAATGGTGAATTAATTGTACGATGATCTCCCTTGCAAATTATATATCAACACCATCTTGTACTAGTTTTTCATTTTCAAACATTTTTCTCATTGCAATAATCTGCGCACCTGAATAGACTGTTTTCATCGCATAATTTGATATCAATTCATTGACAACTCATCACTTTATGATTCTCATAATCATAATTTAACAGACAGGAGGGAGATTATTGTTTGTGATGGTGGTGAATCTAATCCAAGAGAGAGTGATTTAAGGGAGACAATGTTGGCATATTAAATCAAGACTCAAAAATATAAATTTTTTATATCATTATTTAGTAATGTTTTACTCACAGAAGATGGTGCTCTCGTACCAGTTGCTTAGCTCTTCATCAATTGGGATTTCCAAACTTTCGTAGAGTTTCAATGTAGCATGTGCCATGTGATATTTTCTTTGAAAAAAAAAATAGTAATGTTTTACTCAAGTTAGGATTGTAATAATTTTATTGGTGTCAAGTTATAGTAGTTTTATTATTTAGAAATTAATATTTTATTAGAAAATCTTTTATGGTGTAAAACTTATTTCTGAAGTAGTCTATAAATAGAGAGTTTTATTATTGTTATCAGTTGAGAAGAGTGAAATTTGATAGGCTAATTATTATGGTGTGTAATTAATTTATTATTGTTGATATTTATTCCTCTTCTCCCACAGATACTTGTATGTGTGTAAATTGTATCACCATATATATTGGTTCCATTAAATTTATCTCCTACAGCTTTTCGGTGAAATTTTTTGAGTTCTACATCTGTGAGTTAACAAAATTCATGTTTATATCGAACTTTTATCATTTTACATCAAATGCTATGTGAATTATATAACTAGAAGAATTGAATACAATACATCAAATACTATGTGAATTATATAACTAGAAGAACTGAATACAAAAGTTCAACTGGAGAGTCCCGAATTTGTTTTAAAGCTAGTTGTCACATCAATTTTGGAGCATTTTTGGCTGAATTGTACTTTTTTTTTTTGCAACGATAACATTCGTATAACATAATCTATCATATTCTATAGGAGAAAAGAGCCTAAAAAGGTTGTGTAAGAGGTTAGTAAGTATATAAATCTGACTAGACCAAACGGACGTTTTAGCACCTCTTTTGAATTTTTTTCACTGCAGGTGAGGTTTAAATCCCCGACCTACAATTCAAAAAGGAATTTAGTTCTTTTTTGGTGGCAAAGCTAGTGGTTTGGCTACACTGTACTTATTACCTAACTCTAGTGCTCAATGAAAAAAAAGACCTAGTAGCTTGTTCCATCTAGCCTTGAAGTAATTAATATACCAACAAAAATTAATATACCAGCAAAGGAAAAAGAATAATCAGTTATCAGTTCGTGAAAAGAGCGATTAACAACATCAGACTCGGAGAAAGGAATTAATAAAAGAGGAGAGCCAAATGCCTTGAGATTTGTCAAAAAACTTACATAGAAAAATGCTAAAAAATCATGGGTAAAATACATTTTGTCCCCGTGATTTAGTGATTTTTTACATAATTTTCTTGTGCTTTTAAATGCTATATATTTCTTCCTTGTAGTTTGGACTAAAAATTTTAAAACGACGGAAATGATCCCCTATAACGGAATCAAAAAAAATATCGAGATTACTCTTGTTTAAAAACTAAAATATCTTCTGAAGTGATCAAAATATATAAATATAATATGCATGAAACTTTTAACTCCTTATAATTTTGTATTTTATCACATAACTCTTTTGCAGTTTAGTATTTTACCACGTAACCTTCTTATAGTTTTCAAAATATATACATAACTCATATGTGATTAATAAATAATTTTTAACTTTATATAAACATACTTTTGACATTTTAATTGATTTTGATATTGCATATAAATTTCGTTATTTTAACACTTTAATTTAAATAATCATAAGGAGGTTATATATGACTTTTAAAATTACAGAATATTATCTGAAAAAACGCCAAACTACGTCGGGTGTAAAGGCAGCCTTGGGTTCTTTTCTTTATCTCTCGATCCACAAATGCACAGCTTGAAAATTTGCGCTCACTTTGATATGTAATGGTCCCCCCTCGGCATCTTTGCTAAAATAGCTAAAAATGCTTCCCACAGCTTTCCACTTGCCGTTGTACAAATATATTTTCTCCGTCGTTTCTTTTCTAGGAGTCCCTTTCGTGCTTCTCATACCAAAAGAAGAAAATGGGGATAACGTTTTGGGACCTTGCTGGTTTTTCCTTAATCACTTACGTTTTGCATATATTCTATGGTTGAAATTGAGACTTAAGGGGAAAAAAGGACTACAGATACATTGAGGAATATCTCTTTAGGGTATATGTTATGCATCTGTTCCAACAAGTTGTAATGTAATTATTCGGCAAAAAATTATTTAGAATAATATTATAATACGGTATATATAAGATGAAAAAATAATTAAAAGTTATATTTATGATATAAGGAGAATAATATTTATAAATTTTTAAATTATATTGTCCAAACGGAGCCGATCATTTCTCTCCAAAGTTACTATAAAGACTACAAACACTTTGAGGAATATCATTTCTCTGTACATCTTGCCTGTACATCTTGCCTGAAAAATCTCTCTTTAGGGTTTCTACTAGTGTCTTTGCTACCCATTATTTTCCAGCTTTTTTCACCTACCATCTTGCAGATCTGAGACTTCCCAGAAAAGGTTTTTTCTGTTTTTCCATTTTTGGGGTCAATCAATTTCATTCCCTCCTGGATCTTTCTGTTTTTGGAAACCTTTTTTGTTCATGGGGTTATATTAGATTTTTAATTCTTGATTAATTTCTTTTTTTGCACTTTGACCTTTATGGAATCATTATTGATTTCTCTTTCAGGGTTGTCGGTGGATTTAATTTTGGACCTCGTCTCTTATCTAAAATTGTAAGAATGGTGAGGGGGAAAACTCAGATTAAGAGGATAGAAAATGCAGCAAGTAGACAAGTGACATTCTCAAAGAGGAGAAGGGGACTTCTCAAGAAGGCCTTTGAACTATCAGTTCTTTGTGATGCAGAAGTTGCACTGATCATTTTCTCCCCCAGCGGGAAGCTTTATGAGTTCTCAAGTTCCAGGTACATCAACCATTTTAACATTTGCACAGGATCTGCTCACAATCTCTGTCTACTTCTCTTATTTGTTA